AGAGAGAGAGAGAGAGAGAGAGAGAGAGAGACAGACAGACAGACAGACAGACAGACAGACAGACAGACAGGCAGGCAGGCAGGCAGGTAGGGAGGCAGACAGAGAGATAGAAAGAAACAAGTGTTAGTTTAAAGACTATACTAAAAAATCATCAATCAAAAAGAAAATAGTAAGGAACTCATTAGAAGAGTGGGACAAGAGAGGTCAGAGATGAGGACATGAATAGCCAATAAATATAGGAAAAATACTCAGTCTCACTAGTAATTGCTTTTATGGGATCATAGGCAGGAATTTGTGAGGGTGATTAGATCGTGACTTGCTGTGGGGCTGGATGGAAGAGATGAACTACTGTGGGTGTAACTGAAAGGTTTTATCTGCCTTCCTGGCTCCTCCCTTGACTCACATGCCATGATGGGAGCAGCTCCTCCTCCACCGTGCCCCTCGACCTTGCCATTCTGCCTTGGAGCCAGCCATCTGTGGACTCTATGAACAAAAACAAATCTCTCCTTTAAATTTTGAATAAAAGGTATTGTGCTTCCAGAACTAAATCAGACAGTAAATCATATACACTTGTGAGAAGAATTTGACATCTACTAAATTTGGCAACATGTAAACAAGTGGAAGTTACATTTCTAGATATATATCTAGATATACTCTTGTACGTAGGTAGAAGGACCATTTGTTTTGACATTCTTTTTTTTCTCTTTTAAAACCAAAGCATTTATTTGGATTAATTGCTGAAATTCTCAAGATGAACTGGATGCTGCAACAGCTGCTCTCTTGGGATTAGGAGTTGTTCTTTCAAGGAATCCATGTCTGAATCTGAGATATACAATTTTAAGGTGCCTCATTCAACCACTTCCGGTGGTATTTTGCATTTTAGCCTTTGCACTCCAGTTATACTTTTTCTTATGCTTGGTGGGGTAGCCACATTTGCTACAAGTCGACTTTTGAAGGTGGAAGGCCTTAGAGCCATAGTGGCAGCACAACGTGTATGTCTTATTTCGCTTTCCAAAGAATGACGTTCCCTTCGTCATCTCGCTTGTGCAGCAGAGAAGAAAGAGACTGTAAAAGAAGGCACTTCTGCTATATCTGTTTTGACATTGCTTCTAATGGTAAAAACAATGGAGACAATCTACTTGTTCATTAATAGAAGCAAGTAAGATAAATTATGTATTTTATTTATATAATAGATTCTTATATAGTGCATCAATGATTAGATGATTCATATGCTACAATATGCTATATGAAGGGACTTTCAGTGCATGTACATTTTATTTTTTATATTTTTTCCCATAATTTTATTCATAAACAAATAGCAATGAGACAGTTTCAAATAAAATTGGTAGGACAGTTTCAATAATTAACACATTGCATACATTCTTCCTAGTGGTTAATTGCTGTACAAGATGCGGACATGATATCCTATTTACA